GAGAGGGGTCACAGACCCCTCAGCACCCCCAAATTACCCCAGTGACATCAAACCACCTCTCCCCAAAATCTGGGGAGCACCCCATTGGGATGAGAGGGTCACGGACCCCCCTCAAAATTCCTGAGCCCCCAAAGAAGGAGCAGCACCAAAGAAAAATCTGCCCCACACCCTTCTCCAAAACCCAAAAAACCCCAAAACAACCCCAAAAAACACCCACCCACGGGCAATGCTGTTGGCCTGGTTTTTAAGGCTGCTTCAAAAAATCCCAAAAATCCCCAAAACCCCCCCCAAAACCCCCCCAAAACGCTCACGGGCGTTGCTGTCGGCCAGGCTGTTGAGGCTGCTGGAGATGTCGCGCCGCCGGAACAGACAAACCACCTTGGCCTCCACATTGCCATTGGCCGTCTGGGGGTTTGGGGGGGCACAGAGGGGTCAGGGGGGCTCCCCAAGGCTTGGGGACCCCCCCCCAGAAACGGGGACCCCCCTCAAGGAACGGGGGTCTCACCTTGTTGAGCTCCTCGATGCGCCGCACCAGGTAGGGGTTGCTGGAGGAGTTCTCGAAGTAAACGTAGTCTGAGGAGTGGGGGGCAAAAATGGGGGGGCCGTGAGGAGAAACCTCCCCCTCCCCCAAAAAAATCCCTCTTCTTGAAGGTGTCAGGATCTCTCTTCCTTCCTCCCCAAGATATTTGGGGGGCAGGATGCCCCCCCGCTAAAAAAAATTGGGGTTCCCCCTCCTGGGGTTGTCCTTCTCACCCAAGCCCTATGTTCCGTGTCTCAGGAATTGGGGTCTCCCCTCATGAACCCCTAAATCCCCTCACGGGACCCTCCCCATTTCTGGGACCTCCTTTTCCTCACAGACCACCCCAAATCCCCTCAAGGACCCCCTGAACCCCCTCACGGGACCCTTTCGTTTTCGGGACCCCCCGAACACCCTCATAAAACCCCCCTAAATCCCCTCACAGAACCCCTCCCCAATTTCCGGGACCCCCCAAATTCCCGCACGGGACCCCCCCCCTTTCCGGGACCCCCTCATTGCCTCACAAGACGCCCCCACTGTTTCCGCGACCCCCAAATTTCCCCACAAGACCCT